GGAGCCTCTAAGCTATGAGCAAGCTGTTCCTCTCTCTGAAACAGTTACTGTTTACTATTTATTGTGGCGCTGATAGGCTTTTAAGAAATGATAGCTCTTCCTGCACTTAAGATGGAAGCTGCTTTATTACCTCTTGAATGAATAAATAGCTAGTCGAAAGAACATTTTAAGAATGTGAAGTTAGGGTATAAAATCAATATTAATCTGTTGAGATATGACATCTGAGTTTACATAAGTATCTTTTTGCAAAATAGATATGCTAATTGAAAATTAAACTGCATGTACCAATATCAGACAAGCCGATATTCAACCATTTTGAGATTATCAACTAATGACCATTACCGCCCTCTAGTGTCAGTTCAAATTAACCAACTCTGTTAATAAATAATAGACTTTTTGTTATCAATATTTGTAGTGAATTTTGAGCTAGAATTGTTTAGAATGCGTCATTTTTACAATATATATATATATATATATATATATATATGACATGATAAAGACTACCATGTGACACTTTGACGTGACAATCATGTGACTGCTGAAAACTCAGCTTTGACATCACAAGAATAAATGACATTTTATAATCTATTAAAACAGAAAATAGTTATTTAAAACTGTAATAATATTTATAATATTTCACAATATTACACAATATTGCTTTTTATTTATTTTTTTACTGTATAGCCTATATATATATATATATGTATGTACTGATCGAATAAATCCAGCATTGGTGAGAAAAAAAACATTTCAGACATAAAATATATTAAAATAGAAAATAGTTATTCTGAAATTAGACATGTTATTTCTACTTTTCTGTGTTTTTATTAAATAACTGCAGCCACACACACGTTTGTTTCTGTGAATTGTGGGGACTTTCCATAGACTTCTATTACTTTTATACTGACCAAACAATATTTTTTTATCACCTAACCCTAACCCTAACTCTTAACCTACCCCTTACAGTTTGCATTGTTACACTTGCAGATAAACATCATTTACTATTCGTAATAATGTTTTCATTTATTATTTATTAAAAATTTTGGTTTTACTATCCTTGTGGGGACATTTGGTCCCCACAATGTAGCATAAACAAGTACACACACACACACATACAC